GAGATTAGATATCTACAACACTATATTTAGCTATCTTAGACATTTTAGGATCTCAGAAAAAGTAATGTCCTCAATAATGCAATATTATGGTATTATATCCATACACATTACCTTTAGTATACAAAAAATGTTAAAACTTTGCAAAAAGATGCAGCAAGAAAGTAGACTGCGTGAAAGATACTTTTTGTTAGCAGAAAATAGACATGCCACTGAAGAAGGTATAACATTTCATAAACAACCTGTTGGAAAATATTTTCTTGCTAAAAAGTTCGGTGAAGATGTTAATATACACTGAGAACCAAATTTGTCTGACGGCTTGATTTCAATGTGTACGAGAGTGAAATGTACACATAAGTTAGAAAGAGATAGAAGCCGGTTGGCTAGCGAAGCTAATCACCGCGTTGCTTAGCAACACTGCCGCGTCCCAGCAAAATTGAAATAAATAATTCTAGTCAAATTGAAAACAAAATGTTAAATCAAATCTTAGAACAGACCTCCTTGGGTTTGGCAGTAACCTAACCTATTGTAGAAGCCTGAGCGAACATTTTCTGGTGTAACATATTGGCAACGCGGCAGATTGCACTACCTTCTGCGTCACCGTTGCTAGGCAATGTGGTGATGACCTTCGCTGTTCAGCCGGTTTTTATCTCTGACTAACATGTGCACACTTCTCTCTCATATTCATTGAACACAAGCCATCACACAAATTTGGTTTTCCCTGTACAATATACAGATACTGATTTGGCATAATTTCTAGACTACCGGATATTCAAAAAGCATCTAGATGTAACCACACACATCGCGGCAATAGGAGCACACTACCAATACCAGTTCTTTAAAATTATCCACCAACAAATCCTGTTTAGAACTTAATTAAGTACGCAAATACAATTTTGAAAGACTGAAGACATCCAATCATGAGATTTGTAAAATCTAAAAAAACGTCTTGAACTATCCGATCGGTAGTTGGTATTTTGCATCATAAAGAGACATAAAATAAACATGGTTTTTTACCTAAAGCCGCTTATTCAAAAAACATTCAATTTTATAAATTGGTGGGGTGAGCAATATGTCAAAAAACTGACAACGAAAAAAAAACAAATTATTATTATTATAATCTATATTTCCAGGTCTTGAAGCTTATTTTAAAACAAAAATATTATGTGAAAACGAAAACATCAAAACACAAACAACATAGCCAAAATTAGATCAAACACGGCTTTCTCTAATGGATCCCAAATTTTATTAATGTAATGGCGCGTTTCCAACCTACTTGTTTTCGTGATGATGAATGAACATAAAACACGTAAAGCTGATAGCCAAAGGAACTTTTAGATGCCGGAACTACGCCCCATTTATTGCCTACAGTTCTTTTACGATACAAATACAAAATATATCATTGATCACATTGTTTAACAAATAGTTAGTTTTTCACTTTGTCAAATATGTTATATTAACTGCATTTCATAAGCATAAAAGCAATAAATCGATTTATCAGAACAAAAAACCAGTGGTCTTCAAACTATACTGCTTTTATTCTCTATATGATACAAATAGGTACTGTCTTTTTACCATTCTATGACCTATTATGATGTTTACTTATTTAGTTTTTAAAAGGAATAATATTATATTATTTGTGAATAAGCATTAATCGTTATAAATCATTATTTTTGCTCCGAAATAATAGTTTTGAAAAATATTCTTCGTTTAACTTAACATTTCTGTTAAATGTAATTACTAAATGCAATCATACAATTATTAAATTGACTTATTAGATGTTGAAAAGGCTTACTTTTGTGCTGTTTATGTGAATTTCAATAGGAATAAATTATATGAAAATAAAATAAAATTCAGCAATACTGCACTTTTCCTCTGAAAAAATAATATCAAAAGATTACGAAAAAGGCAGTAAATTTGTTTTTCTTGAGATCTAGAGCATAAAAGCACAAAATCACAACATGTTGCTGCTTATTTATTTACAACAATTAAAGACGAAATGTCATTTATTTTAGGACTCAACGACAATTATGACCCGAAAGCACATTTAAATGACTCTCTATAAAGTCATGTTACTTTTGTTCTGTCGTAATAATATAATAATACAAAAAAAAACTTAATTTTGAACTCGATTTTTTCAGACTTCGATTTTTACACTCTACTACATTTTACATAAGTACGGCAATATAAGCTAAAGTACAGACCAAAACGTAAAAGAAAAAAGAGCATAACTCATTATATGCCACAACTAGTGTGTTTGTCTTGCCGTAGTTGAGACAATCTCACCGTACTCATTTCTGTTTTTGGCTGCAGTTACTGCTACTCCCAAGAGGATTGAAATTCCTCCAAACAAAGTTGAGATTTCCGTGTCAAATATACAGGGTGACTCACCAAACTATGCAATACACAAAGTGCTCACAGTATAATACAAACAAAAATTTACCAGTGGCGCCGAAACTGTCACATTTTGACCGCTGCAGAAGGGGAAAGAAAAATATTTTCACGCTACTGATTTTCCTGAAACATTTATATCGCATTTTTTAGATAAGGTATTATTTAATTTTACATATATGTCTCACAAGAGGACTTTTTGACCAATGTTTTTGTATAAAAACGGTTTGATGCTTGAAGCGTAATCGGTATAAAAACTTAAAAAGGTTGATTGGCAGATCTACTGAAGTTTGGCATTAAAAATCGTATGTACTATGTTAACGAAGCAATCTCACACAGCGTTATTTGAAGGATAGTTATGTATTATTATTAAATCTTCCCATTGTCCTTTCTGCGCTAGTACAAGTGATTTCTTGTGATATATTTTTGTCGAATAACAACCTCTGTTGTCTCATTTGAAACTTTATCCATTTGGTATTTGGATATACCCACTACTGAAATGAGAAATAAATCGAATCCCCTCGTAACATCTATGCATATTAGCATGCGTATAAGGAGAAAATAGGTCATTTACGTGTCAAAACACTAAAAAAAAGCACAGCCCATAAAATCGGTGACAAATGTGACATACTAAGAACGGAAAATATATATGGTGTAACGTTCCATTTTGTTCAGGTTTGTTAGCGAATCATTGGTGCCATTGTTATCAATAGAGAACAATTCAAGCAGCAAGCGTGAAGCTTTTAATATACACGTAGTTTTTATAGTAGTCACTACTATAATTCGGATGTAATTTCTACATTTACACATCTTAATAGAGGTGTCACTTAAACACTAGCTATAGTGATAGCGTTTTTCATTATTTTTTATATAAGGAGTAACATAGCTTGTAAAACTCTTGCATTTGGCACAGCAATCGCGTCGCGGTTACTATGATGAGTTTGAGAAAAACTGTCGATCAATTTATACGGATCTCAAGTCGGTTTGTGGATTGAAACCACAGACGAAGATTGTAATGACCAAATTTTGCGAGTATAATCAGATTGTATCCACAGGCATTACCTAGGCATCACAAACCACTTTAAATCTTCTTCACATGTGGCGACGTCGCATTGATGGTATAGCCGACCTCCGAAGGTCGACCTACACGCCTACTTGCAGCAAGCAATCAGAAGCGAATGAGACTGAGATGAAAGAAAATCGAACGAGTCGGTCGATTGTCTCACTGCATGACCAAACAATAGACAAAGTGGTGATATATCTCGGTATGCACTAAAGATGGAATATACAATAATACATTCTTTAACATTCGTCATTCATGTTCTAACAAATCTGCAATCGACATTTTTTAATCATCTCTAATGTAAAGTTCTCATAATACTTGGCCATGATTATAAATTTATTAGATGATGTTGAAGCCTTTGTAGCAATTTATGTGAATAACTTGAGACGACTGGGGCAACCTTGGCATTTTTTCATCCGACGACACTGGCGAGGAAGTATTGTATTCGCGAAAAATTAAAATGTGTTAAAAAACTGATCTTTTAGGGGACACATTCGTTATTTTTGGTCATATTCAAACACCCTGCATTTGAAGCTCATGCCTCCAACTGGAAGCTAACTATAGCCTACTATAGTCTACCTATAGCCTCCTTTCTGTGCTCATACATATAATAAATTTTGATATCTCCATCAGATACCTTGAAGAACATTGTTGTGAAGTACAGTAACACTAACGCAGTTAATTCTCAAAGTAATAAAGTGCATGACTTAAAGACGCGTATGTCAGTATTTTGCCCTGAGTCTTTCACTAAATCTAAAAATAGAAGCTAGTTGTTACAGTTTTGCAATCACGAAATTGACTGTACGACGATGATTTGTGACCATTGATTAACTCATACTTTTTTCAGAACAGCCGATGGATTACTTCTGACAGAAAACCATTACGTGATCAAGGAAGTTCTCACGGTATCTAGTATTCAGTTACTGTCAGAAGTACTGCGTTGCGCAAAGTCAATCGACAACTATTAGTTCACTCTTCTTGGCAATGAGTTCTGACAGTTTCGCTATTCGTTGGTGAAGGTAATTTCGATATTTGCTTAAATTTAACTCAAGAAAAAAAAACAACTCAGTGAAGCCACAGACATGCAAATCTAATATAAATTGAAACACTAAGGCCCGTATCGTCAGTCGTCCCTACAATTGTAGGGCGCGTTTATGGCCTCCTTGATTATCATACTCCTTTCTGTCCTTCAAAAATTTCTAGATTACACTTGTCCCGTGTCAGCGTCAGCGCTATCCCATTATGAAGATATGTTTTCTTTTTAAATTGTAGGAAATTTGAGGCTGATAAAACATGATATAACTCAAAAGCGAGCACAACTTGATGCAAATAGATGTTTGTGACATAACCTCAAAATAGAGCGCCGACACGGAGAAGTAGAAAACTATGACAATCAAGGAGGCCATAAAGGCGCCCTACAATTGTAGGGACGACTGACGATATGGGCCTAAATCTCATCCTGCCTCGTTATTCGTTTTTTTTAAATTCTCCTTCAATTTGAACTACACTTACTTCGTTCATGCGACTCAAATTCAAATGTACGACTTACCTTTTTATAAAGTTTGACCCAGGTCAAGTCACCTTTAGAGTCGGTGTACTGCAGTCCGAAGAACCACACCTCCCTAAGGCCAATGGTTTTGACCACCTGGTCGAACAACTGTTTGCCAGACGTCGTTTGTTGGATCGCGAATTCTAGCTCCGCGTCCATGGTGGTCACCCTCACATTCATCTGGAATGAAAATTGCAAGATTGTGATTAACCAGGTTTGCACAAGAAAAATAAAAAGGTGAATTTAACGGTCACAGAAAATGTGCATCTGAGAATTACATGGAGATTCCATTATATGAAATAAACATACAATAGCTGTCAAAAACTTGATTGGAAAGAGTGAGTTTCAACAACATTGCACTCGGAAATCATGCAGAGTAAAGTGCCATCTATCACCAGACTCGACCACTGCGGAAACCGCACAGCTGCTATTAGTTGGAGCTGTTAAAAATCTCAGTTCACGTTTAATAGCCCAGTCATCACCTGATCGCTAGATGACTGACGACTCTGGCTGTGAAGTAGATGTGGTCTACTCGCCATTGAATAAACTAAACCGTACGTATGACTAAAGGACAGCCAGCCATAGGCAGCTGTTTCGTGCTTCTTGGGTACTCGTCAGCATGGTCTAAGGCTTGGAAAATAAGAATGAGAATACACAATGCTTTTCATGAATCTCCCCCCCCCCTACTTATTTTTTGAACGGGTGAGGTTACTACGCTGAAATTTGTGGACATGAAATTGGAGCACGAATACTATATTTCAGCGGAAAAGTGGCAGTTTAAAATTTGAAAATGGCAGCTGGGCGCCATTTTTGAACATTTTCTTAAATAAAATGAAGGGTTGAGTGATAACACATTTTAAGGCTTCTTAGGACTACTTTTTAACCCTAGGACAGAGGTCGCCAACCTTTTCAGTGTGTTGAGCTACTTTGATAATTTTGGAATACACAGTCAACTACCTAGTCGTAAGTAATGTAAGCCAACTTAAATGAAATTATACACAGTTGAGTGCGACATACATGTGTTTATTTTACTAATACATACTAATAAACTTAAATACAAACTTTTTCGTCAGCTACAATGGCATGTTAATAAAAGAAACTAAAACTGAAAAAAGCAACACACTATTTTAAACAACAACATGCCCAGATAAAAAATGCGTGTTCAATGAGAAGCCTCAGACTCACTGACAATTTGTTTAATGTTTGGAGTAGAATCTGATACCGCCATTCGTATACAATTATCCAAATGTTCATCTGTAAGTCGATTACGGTATTTGTTTTTAATAAACTTCATATTTGAAAAATAAGATTGACACAAATAGGTTGAACTAAAATAACGCTTTCACTTTCCAGGCAACACGACATAAAACTGAATATTTATCTTTACTTACTGAAGGCCAGATACATTTTGTATTTGAGACTAATGATTTTAAAGTTAAATCATTTTGAAACGCAATCACTTCCATTTCTTTCTGCGTAACAGAAGTTGCAAACTGTTGGATAGCAATTTCCATCAATGGTGAAACAAATTGCACTACAATTTCGTTGAAATCCATGAAAGTTATCCTTCAAGTTAGACACTATTTCTGCATGATATTTACTGTCATATGGTTCTAATGGACTTTGAGATATCTTTTCTAAAGAACAGGAAAATGCCTGGTATCGCCATCAATCAAGTTTAATTCCCAAAACTCAAGCTTTTTGATAAAAGCTTTTATATCGGAAATCATTTCAGCTGGTTCTTTGATTCTTCCCTGAAGCTGCAAATTAAGTTCATTTAATTTTTCTGTAATAACCACAAGAAAACCAAAATCTCTAAGCCAGATTGAATTTTCCAGTTCCGGGATCGGTTCATCACATTGTTTGAAAAATTGAACTAGATAGATATGATATCATTAAAACGTTTCAGCATTCGTCCCGTACTTAACCATCGGACACGGTTAACTTCATCCGCCAAGGTTTTGAATAATCTTGTTTGCAACGCTTGAGCTCTAATCTTGTTCACAATTTTTACTACCAATTTCATAAGGTTGTTTTTAGTTTTTGAAAATGTCCACATAATGCTTGCTGATGGATAATGCAGTAGTAACAGAGATATTGCGGAAAACTTTCACCTTTACGACATAATCCCATGAGACCCTTATCACGACCCAGCATAGCTGGAGCGTCATCGGTTGTCAAGCCTACCATTTTCGATATTGGAATTTTTTCAGAAGAAATAATATTTTTAAAAGAAGAAAACAAGTCCTGCCCAGTAGTCTGCCCTTTGAGTGGAATAAACTTCAAATTATCTTTAATCGTAAAATCACTAAAAACCATCCTGACGAACACGGCTATCTGACAAGTGTCAACGACATCTGTGGATTCATAAAGCTGCAGTGAAAAATAAGCACAGTTATCTAAGTAATTTATTAACTGTAAAACTATATCATTGCTCATTAGTTCTACTCGTCTCATCACTGTATTAGCAGAAAGTTGCATAGATTTTATAGCAGACACTATCTCGTCCTTATTTCTAAAGTTGGCAAATAATGAATCTGCAGCTTCTAAAAATGCATGTTTTATCATTTCCCCGTCTTCATAAGGTTTCTTCTGTTGTGTAATTATCTGGGACACCCGGTATGATGATTCAGTTGCAGCCTCACTTTTGTCGATTGTTTTTAAAAACATTGTATGTTGACCAATTAACAGATTTTCTAATTTAATTATTTCAGTTTTTCCGTTCTGGTTGCAGAAAGTAATGGGAATGCTTTTTCAAAATTCGAATGTACAGTTTTATAGTGCCTCTCGATATTCCCCTTTTTAGCAACGAAAACAGATGTAACATGCATTTTTACCATTAACTTCTGTAAAGAAATATTGTTCTTCCCATTCCGAATGGAAATGGTATGTCATAATCTTCTTACTTTTGCTCATAGTGTTTTTAGTTGCAGGCCAATTATAACCCAACCGTGCGACCCTGCCGTTTAGTTTCAAACTGAGTGCACTGTCGCCGAGCCTTGCATATTTAGTCCGTACAAAGTAATCGAGATCGTTCTCGAACAGGTCGCTTACCGCAGTGTTGCCGCTGTTTGTGTTTATTATGAGAATTTAATTAACGGAGGGCTAATATGATTTCTACACATTTTTAAAATACGTTGTTAGCCATCAGAATTGCCTTTGCGAGCTACCGATAGCGCGCGATCAACGGGTTGGCGATAACTGCACTAATATATAAAATTACTATCCTTCAAAATGACGGGCTGACAGAAAGTATAAGGTGGTGACCCCGCTGGCAATGCGAATTGGCATACAGTTCCTACAGTCAGCTTGATGTTTTCACTTTCGCAGTGATCGGTTCTGGTTATAGATGGCACTTTGTGCTATCTTATTTCGATAAACTTTACACCCTGAAGTTGTTCAGCTTTGGTTCGTTGTCCACCGAAACCGAGCCTAGACCATACTGAGGAGTTGCCAAGTAGCACGAAACATCTGCCCATGGTTGGCCGTCTATGCACTATTTATTACCAATTCCCAAATGGATAAACTGAAATAATCACACGCCAACAGAGAAATAATGTAGGAACGTTGTTTTCTTCTTAAAGAGAAGTAAGGTATGAATATTGGTTTGCTATTTTTTTCTTTATTAGTTTCCAATATCATGCCGAATTTTTACCTTCAAGGACAGCGATATAACAAGCTCTATCTGAAGTTACTCATTCACTGGCCTTTTTTTCTAATATTCTGAAATGAGCCTAGTTCTCAAAATGACAAAAATACACAATACAATTTTGAATGTAATTCTTTATTTCTCTGTCTCTGTTATTAGGATTATTTACTTAGGAAGAGAAATGCTACTTTTTATCATAGCGTAAAATCACAATTGCTATATTTTTGTTTATCTGCCACTGCTGTGACTAAATGAAACCACGTATGTCAAAGAAAAAAAATACTGAGAATATTGTAGTTAACGTGGCTCTATACACAAATGGGGTAGTACTTTCAGGGAGTGAAAGGAAAACAAATCAATTGACAATTCGTTAACGACCTGTGAGGCCAGTGTTATCTGTATTTGCCGTTTTCTATATACGGGGTGGCCCATCCATGTGTGGACGGAATATTACTCAAAAATAAATACATTTTGGGAAAATTATTTATGGCATGTCATACGTAACATTTGAGGGCAGGCACATTTCTAAAATATTGGCAATTATACAGGGTGTCCCAATTTTTACCTACATAACAAAGTTGTGATTTTTTAAATGCAATGCCTCAAATTTTATTGCAGATTTGGATAAACCAATTCAAAAGAAGAAGATTGATATAACATACTATGGGGTTTTGGAAATTAGCTACTTGTTCAGAAAAGCGTCCACTTCGGCAACCTCTCAATCCGCCATTTTGAAATTTGGAGTGGTAAATTTTGTATCAAAAAAAACTTACACACCTCAACTTTTATCTTATTTGTTACTTCTTCCAATTATCATTTTTGCTCATACAGGGTGGTCAAAAACGCGAATTATACTTTTTCTCAAAAATTTCAAATGCATTACCCTGTATATTTGTGCAAGTTTGGATTCATTTTTTAAAAACTTTTTTTTGGTATACGGTTTGATTCAGATAAAATCTCTAGATTTTGAGTTATGCTTTTAATAGAACAACAGACCAAAATTAAGGAAAAAAATCACATCCTCCATGGAAACAAAAGACAAACAGTGGGATAGTTCCATATTGCCACCAAGAGTACAGATTTGACGTAAAAACTAATAACAATCAGAACAGTATAAAAATCAGCTTCAAGCGTATAAAAGAAAAACAACTATAACAACAACATAAACAAACAACTATCACTACTCAAGACCTAATCTACAAAAACTGCTCGAAAATATCTCCACCTTGTTGAATACACAGGCCGTAGTCTGGATAAATGACCGTTGCACATCCCTCTGCATGTGCCCTTATGTTCAGAAAAGCATCCTTAATCCTTTCCTTCATATTTTCCGGGGTAGATGGTGGATATCTATAAACCTCTTGCTTAACGTAGCCCCATAGAAAGAAGTCCATCGGTGTCATATCTGGTGATCTAGGAGGCCCAGATATAGCCCCATCAAGACCGATCCAACGATTGTTACTCCAGGTGTCCAAATAGTTACGCACACGATTATGATAATGCGCAGGTGCGCCCTCATGTTGGAAGTACA